CCAAAGGGCAACGCTGTACTTCTCTACCATTTATAAATTATTGTTACCTCAACTATTCTTATTCAAGGAATATATATCTATTCTACCGCGGCTGGACAATCGGATAGAATTTACTGCATCATTAGGAAGGATCTCTCACCCTTCATCTCGTGAAGACGATCACAAGCGACTTCGTCAGCATCGATATCCACCTGCAATCCCGATATAAATTCGAACAGAGAAAATTAGGCAAATGTTGCTGAATTGATAGAGACGTCGACCCTCTTTTGGCCCATACATCTCAAGCTTGGATCGCTTTCCAATCCAGTTTGCAAGTTTGTCTTCTCTTATGTTCCAGCTATGCTTAATCCTGTGGACACTTTGCTTCCAGCAGGTGGAGAAGTACGTAGACGAGCTGATGCAAAGTTTCTGGGAGCGGAAGTCCACGGTGAGCCTGGGGCAGCGCCTCCACCCCCTTGGCGTGCTCCAGAGCTGCCTGCTGAAACGCGGCGGGCAGCAGAACAGGGATCTCAAGACACCGAAGAAGGACACGATCATCCGGTCGACGGTTGAGCTGCACGAGGCCGGCATCCGCTTCGAGAGCAGGCAGTTAAGCAGCATCAACGACATCGAGTTCAAGGACGGCGTCCTCAGCATCCCCGTGTTCACTGTCGATGATAACACTAAGTACATGTATCTCAACCTCATAGCGTTCGAACGCCTCTACGGCCGCGCCGGCTAATGGGGATATAAACAAGAATAATCTTTGTATATGAACAAATATTAGAAGATCATAATACGCAGCGGAATTAAATGAAAGCACAATCAAACAGAACACCAAGATATACGTGGAAAACCCATCCAATGTGAAGGGTAAAAACCACGGGGCAAACTAGAGATAATTCACTATGAGAATAATGAATATACAAATCTCAATCTTTTGCCTTAAACCCTAGCAACAATCTCAAGAGAATAACTAGGATACAAGGATCACGTCATTGCCCACAATATCTAAAATCTTCCCAAGTAATCACAGCAAGAGTCTACTATAGATTTAATCTAACCTAAGATAGAACACTGCTAGATGATTGAGAATAGCCTCTCTGTGTTGTCCTTGTCTTCTTCCCTTTCTTTCTCTTCCTTTTCTGTCTTGTTTTCCTCATTTTCTTTGGAATCCTGTGGCTGTTTTCTTCTCCCACATTGTTGCCCTATTTATGCCTTTTTCTGCCTCCAAAACGCAGCCACCACACCCCTCTAATGTTAATTAGGGTTAGGTTAAGAGAGGGTGTGGGCTGTGGGCTGCCCAAGCCCACTATGGGCTGAATCTGTAGGCTGCCAGCCCAACAACCTCCTCCTTCAGCCCATAAGAGAGGCTGTCCCATGACTCCTCAATGTGAAGCCATGTCGACCAGTTGTCGGCATATCTCCTGCCTTTCTTTTGATAAGGCCTTCATTCCATTTGGTAGCAGTACCAAATCATAAGTGTGGTTCTTCTGAAGAGCATCCATCTCTTCTTGCATAGCAACTAACCACTTCTCTATCTGCGGGAAGTTGCTCTCCAACTTCTTCTTGCTCAACATGTCCTGTAGGTAGATCAACATCAGGCTCTACACCATCTTCCTGCACATATCCCCCATCACCCTGATATACTGGAGGAATAACTGGGTCACAATCTGCTAATCCTTCTGTAGAAGTCTTGGCTGGTGCCTTCTTCTTCAAATCCTCAAAGGTTTGATCCTCAAAGAAGACTACATCTCTGCTTCTAAACACCTTCTGCTTTTCTGGATCTCAAAGCCTGTAACTAAAATGATCATGTGAGTAACCAAGAAAAATATATTCTTTAGTCTTACCATCCAGCTTGGACCTCTCATTATCTGAAACATATGCAAATGCACGACAACCAAACACTCTCAAATGCCTGTAGGAAATATCTTTCCATGACCATACATGCTCTGCAACATCACCATCTAGGGTTGTACATGGTGATAAGTTGATTACATCAACTACAGTACTCAAAGCCTCATCCCAAAACCTTTTGGGTAGCTTGGCCTGTGAAAGCATACATCTGATCTTTTCCATGACGGTGCGGTTCATCCTCTCTGCAATTGCATTATGCTGAGGTGTACCAGGAACTGTCATCTCATGTTGGATCCCATATGACCTGCAATAGTCATTAAACAATCCTGTATACTCACCACCATTATCTGATCTTATGCATTTCAATTGCCTTTCTGTCTCCCTTTCAACCCTAGCATGAAACTCTTTGAAGATATTAATCACCTGATCTTTAGTCTTCAAAGCATAGGCTCAAACTTTCTTGGAAAAATCATCTATAAAAGTGACAAAATAAAGTGCACCACTTATACCAAGAACATCAATAGATCCACCAGGAGTTTTTGTCCTCAAAGGACCACATACATCTGTATAAACACGGTCTAAGGCATGTATTTTTCTAGACAAAGCAGGACTAGCAAATAAAACTCTATGTTGTTTACCTGCCAAACAATCAATACAAGGATTCAGATGTATACCTCTGAGGTTTGGTAATACCTCTCTCTTGGAAAGAGCTTGCAACCCCTTCTCGCTTATATGTCCCAGTCGCCTATGCCACAACTCCATGCTGAAGTTTTTTTCTGTAGCATTTAACTGCTCACCATAAGCTTTAGCTTACAACCTGTACAAAGTATGACATTTCTTTCCATTAGCTATAACAAGAGAACCCTTACTGAGATTTCATTGCCCTTTGTGAAATCTGCTATCATAGTCTTCGTTATCTAGCCTTCCAACTGAAATTAGATTCAGCCTCAAGTCAACCACATGCCTCACATCCTTAAGCACCAACTTACAGTCAAAGTTGGTATTTAAATGGATATCACCCATGCCTATGATGTCTGCTGTGTCATAGTTACCCATCTTGACAATACCAAAATTTCCAGACCTGTATGTAGCAAAAAACTCTCTCCGTGGTGTAGCATGATAAGAAGCACCTGTGTCAATCACCCACTCAAGATCCTGACACACACAAGAAAAAATATCATCAGAAGGAGACAAAATCAAATAATCACCACCCTGCATTGTAGCTGTGATATTAACTTTTGACTCTATAGACTCCACTTCTTTTCCCTTTTTCTTGCTCTTCTTAGGTTGCTTACATTGGTTCTTGTATTGTCCTTTCTCACCACAATTATAGCAAACAATATCTTTTCTTGATCTTGACTTGCTTCTACCCATGCGTGAACTGCTTCTAGACTTTGACCTTCCTCTGTTCTCTGAGATAAGTGCTTGTGAATCATTCTGAGATGTTGCTGAATTCTTTCTTTTCAACTCCTCATTCAACAAACTGCTTGTTACTTGACTCATAATGACAACACCATCTGGCGCAGAATTACTAAGGGAAACCACCAGTGTCTCCCAACTTTCTGGTAATGAACTGAGAAGTAACAATGCCTGCAACTCATCATCAAGAGACATTTTCATAGAGGATAACTGGTTAGTAATACTTTGCATTTCATTCAAATGTTCAGCAATAGAAGCACCCTCTCTATATTTTAGGTTCACAAGTTTTATGATCAAAAAAGCTTTGTTGCCAGCTGTTTTTCTTTCATAGAGACTTTCCAACTTTTTCCAAAAAGAATATGCAGAAATTTCAGTAGAAACATGGTGAAAGACACTATCATCAAGCCACTGTTGAATAAATCCAATTGTTTTTCGATCTAACCTCTTCCACTCATCATTTGTCATAGTTGTGGGTTTTGCATTATCCCCCTGCAAAGGTCCATACAAATCTTTGTAATACAGGAGATCTTCCATTCTTGGTTTTATATCATCCAATTGTTTCCATTCAAACTAATCATGCGAGAAACATTACTGGCCTCTATGTTCAAATACAAAATTTAAATCACCAAAACCCCTTGCTCTGATACCAGTTGATGGGGATATAAATAGAAATAACCTTTGTATATGAATAAATACTAGAAGACCATAATATGCAGCGGAATTAAATGGAAGCACAATCAAACAGAACACCAAGATATACATGGAAAACCCCTCCAATGTGAAGGGTAAAAACCACGGGGCAAACTAGAGATAATCCACTATGAGAATAATGAATCTATAAATCTCAATCTTTTGCCCTAAACCCTAGCAACAATCTCAAGAGAATAACTGGGATACAAGGATCACGTCACTGCCCACAATATCTAAAACCTTCCCAAGTAATCACAGCAAGAGTCTACTGTAGATTTGATCTAACCTGAGATAGAACACTGCTAGATGATTGAGAACAACCTCTCTGCATTGTCCTTGTCTTCTTCCCTTTCTTTCTCTTCCTTTTCTGCCTTGTTTTCCTCCTTTTCTTTGGAATCCCGTGGCTGTTTTCTTCTCCCACATTGTTGCCTTATTTATGCCTTTTTCTATCTCCAAAACGTAGCTACCACACCCCCCTAATGTTAATTAGGGTTAGGTTAAGAGGGGGTGTGGGCTGTGGGCTACCCAAGCCCACTATGGGCTGAATCTGTGGGCTGCCAGCCCAACACCGGCAACGACGTCACCTCCTTCGTCTGCTTCATGGACCACATCATTGACTCCGCCAAAGACATCAACCTGCTGCACTATAAGGGGATCATCCTAAACGCGGTGGGAAGCGATGAGGCCGCCGCCGAACTGTTCAACCGCCTGACCAAGGACGTGGTACTCGACCCTAATAGCAGCTTCGATAAGGTGTTAGGAATCTAGCTAGGAGAGTCCTAATTGAGAGGGATATTCATGTAAAACCTACCTAAGCTGACCCCTATTAAAGAGGTGAAGAGGCCGGCTAGGGTTTGGAGGTTGTTTCTTAGAGAAGAATTAGGAGTTGCAAAGGAATAGGAGTCTTGAGTAGAAGTCCTATTAGGAGTTGGTTAGAAGTAGGAGTCTTGAGTAGGAGTCCTATTAGGAGTTAGGGTTTAGAAACCCTATAAATAGCTATGTATTCCTCCTCTTTTGATAAGCAATAGATGAATCTTTTCTGTAGCCTTTGAGCAGCAACTTGGAGGGAGGAACCCCTATAGAGTTCCAAGGAGGCCGATCCCCTAAAGAGATCAACCCCAAATTTAGAATCTGTAAGGGTTCTAACACCTAGTATCAGAGCAACGTTCTTGGCATCTCGCTGCCCTTCCACTGCCATCCATCAGCCCTCCACAACCACCCAAAGTAATTCCCACAATTGCTTAAAAGATCGTCGCCGAATTCCACCATCATCTCCACCACCGCGGATCATCCTTTAATCTCCCCGTGAATTGCAACAAGTTCTGGTTTCCTAACTTACTGCTACTGCAATTTAGTTATCCTTATTTGAAAATAAAAAAAAAAACTCTTCCTATATTGCTGCATAAACATTTCGTCACAAAGTTTTTATCTCTATGACGAAAGATACATTGCAGAATTCCAACCACACAACACCATCTGTTTGATCTTGCTACTGTGCTTTTTCTATCCAAATTTCTATGAAATTTTTATGACATCTTTGATACTTCCTAATAACAGATTTCCCTTTAGTTTTTTTTAAAAATTCTCAATATAAACCATTGATCTTTTATGTCTAATCTGCTATACTTAAAAATCTACATTGTAAAATTTCAGCCGCATAACACTGTTTGTTTGATCTTGATACAATATATTTTCTATCCAAATCCCTATGAAATTTTTATGATAGCTTTGACACTTCCTAACAGTGGATTTCCCTTTGGTTTCACCGAAAAATTT